CCAACAATGTGGGGTTGGTTTTGCATCTGAGTTTCTCTTTTAATTCCTGAATTTCTTGTGCTAACTCACGGACTGCCGATTGTAGGGCTTGAATTGTACCTGCACACTGTGTACAATTTAGAGCATTATCAGTACTGTCTGTCAATAGAAAATCATTTTTTACAGGTGTTGATGACATTTGTGGAATAGATTGTCCCAACATACTACTAATGCTGTTAGAGGTTTTGTTTCTTATGTCAGTAAGGAATTTGTCCAGCCAGGAGTTTGCCGACGATCCTTGAATGTGCAGGACGCTGGTGCCAGAATAGAGTGTGGCTGTTACAGTATTGCACTCAGACTTGAAAATCTGGCCATTCTTCCCTACTTCTTTAATTGCATTAAGTTCTTTTTCCAGATAGTTCAAAATAGTGGCATATTTGTCTTGTTGAAACGATACAGTTATGCTGTATTTGTTAAAAGTCACGTTCAAAAAACTTGGTATACTCACTCCATTAGGTGTGATAATTCCAGTTTCACTAAATGATTGAGAAAGTCCAGAAAAAGATGTAAACAAGCTCGGATCCATAATTATTCTAAGATTTAGTCAGGTAGTTAGCCATAGTACCCACAGCATTATCACTCATAGCAATTAAGCACAGGTAATCAGGAGCTATCCTTAAACTTCAATATGCCAATAAAGGAATTGACGCGGTTAATATAAGTAATATTCTTAATCACAAAAGGGTCCAGTCTTATTTTCCACCATATTTCAAGTTAAAGACTACGCCTTGTATTTCCTACAAATATACATCGACCATTGCTTCCAAACTTTTCAATTACAAAAACACTTTACATGGCCTGGATATCGACTATCTGAAAAATAATCCCCTTTCGTGTTCATGTTTTTCTTCGCCCTATAAATATAGTCCCGCTGGACACGTTATTACAGGTGACGTAAAAATAGTTCGTAATGAGGACCTTAGATCACTTATTTTAAAAAGGTCCTAAATATAGGGAACCCCGATCCTTCAACCGGCGTCGGAATTTCATAAATATTATGGATTCTGTTGAAAATAACGCCAGACGATGGGCTAGATATGAAAAAGAAAACGTTGACACCTTGTAAAAATGGATTAAATGTATCAGATCCATGTTAAAGTCGCGTATTAATAGATTGAGGGGCAATATGAAAACCATCTATCCTTCTGTGTTCAATAAACCAGAAGTGAAAAAAGAATTAGATAGATTACACGATCAGTACGTACTGGTTCCTGCCGACAAAGCAGGTAACAACATTGTCTTCGTTTGTAAGGCTCAGTATATAAATTGCATTCTAGAAGAACTTGGATTTAATTCTACAAGTGGTAATCCTACTTATACATATACTTCTCTTTCTAAGGAAGAAATTCTTCAAAATCACCTGTCAGTTTTGAATACTTTTAATATTCCACAGAGCCAAAATGAATTTGAACTACCTTATATATATTGGATTCTGAAACTTCATAAGAATCCTTACAAACAAAGATATATTGCAGGTTCCAGTAAATGTTCAACCAAGCCCCTTTCGTTACTTCTCACGAAAATATTGACAGTAGTGAAGGAAAAACTTCAAGAGCACTGTACAACTATATATTCAAGAAGTGGTGTTAACCAGATGTGGATACTTAAAAATTCTAAAGAACTTTTGGACAATTTGAAATCACAAGATTTTACAAAAATTAACAGCATAAAAACTTACGACTTTTCAACTTTATACACAACAACTCCCCACGACAAATTAAAATCCAGGCTTTTTTGATATCATTGACAGCTGCTTCTTCAACAAAAATGGAACTCGTAAGTTTACTTACCTCGTCATTGGTCATTTGAAAAATTATTTTGTTAAAACAGATTCTGATTGCCCACTTAAGTACTCTGAAGTTGACATAAAAAAGATGCTTGAGTTTCTGATTGACAATATCTATGTGGTTTTTGGAGACCAGGTATTCCAACAATATATTGGAATACCCATGGGTACCAATTGCGCTCCGTTATTAGCAGACTTATTTTTATATTCATAATGAAGCAGAATTTATGCAAAATCTTTTACGTGATAAGAAGAAAACACTTGCTGTGGCTTTCAACTCGACATTTAGATATATCGACGATGTATTGTAAATTAACAATGATAATTTCCATTCTTATTTCGATACGAGATATCCTGGTGAGCTTGAGATAAAAGATTCCACAGAGTCCGACACTTCTGCTTCATACCTGGATATTTTACTTGAAAAGACACTAATGGTAATCTAACAACCAAGCTATATGATAAACGTGATGACTTTAACTTTTCTATCGTCAACTTCCCTTACTTATGCAGCAATATACCTTCATCACCTGCATACGGAGTATGTATATCTCAGTTGATTCGATACGCAAGAGCATGCTCTACGTATGAACAATTTCTTAAACGAGGTAAATTATTGACAAGCAAGTTTATGAAACAAGAAGATCAACAGTCTCGTTTAAAGTCATCATTTCGTAAATTCTATGGTCGATACAATGACCTTGTCAGCAAATACAATTTATCATTGGATGAAATGTTTACTGACGTTTTTCATACCAATTGTTAGTCCATTATTTATACACTGAATTGACCACGGATTTTTTCCGTTATTTCCTGATTATGACAACGAGCACACGGCGGGTGTGACCGGTCGGCAGGGGATGCTCACTCCTCCATGGCACCTGATCCCACCTCTGATGTTTCGGAGGTCCGTGTTTACTCTGCTCTTATTATGTTTATTTGTTTAATGGACTTTGAGATTGAATATTGTTCGTTATTTCCATATCCTTCATTAAAGTTTATGTGATCACTTTTCATCACATAGTTTCATCGTGAGAAGCTGAGATACAAGAGCTATTCGAGGTTCTGTTAAAGCTGCTCTAAATCTTGTTCAAAATCCCAAAGAAATGTTCACTGAAATATGTGTCATTTACAGCAACCGATACTTGTTTTATAGACAAATGAGCAGGTGGATTTCAATAATAAAAAAATATATAATGGGCATCGAAAATGAGTACCCTCTTTGTCAACAAAATTATAACAGCTTATGTACTGTATGCCAAATCTCAACAAATGCTATTTGAAGATGCATAATTCACTTTAAGAAACATAGCAAATTTGATAGACATATATCGAGAGTAATTTGTACACGAAAACGAAAGCGAAAATGTATACGAAAGTTTAAACAATTATTTTAAAATATCAGTAATTGTAATTGTAGTTATCCACATTTGTTTTATATTCAAAGGAATATTGGAACATGAACCTATTGCTAAAAATCATCAAAACAAAATTTACCATAAGATGTGCATGATAAAAACGGTTAAGGTCTGACAAAAGCAAAGGTATTCAAGAGCACAGAGACATTTTTAAATGCAATTTTCTTGAATATTAGTGGTATTGTTGCTTAAATTCGTCTTCTGAGAGACAGTCTAATAGCAGAAGGATTCTAGAAAGCATTTTGTTGCAAAAGGTTTATTTGAGGAATAAAATCGAAATGTTTTAATTCAATGAAGCAGGGTGTGTATGAACAGTGGATCCTTATGACACAGAAACCCCCTTTCCACGTCCAGAAAAATAGATAATTTTTTTCATGAGAACATGATTTTATTTTCCAGGGAATTGTGTAGCGGAATATGTTGCTTTTAACACATGAACTAAAAAAATAAATAAAAAACAGGAGGCCCCTAAGCCATATCGCTCACCTGAGTAGCTTAGGTGATGCAGTTCTTTAGCAGATTTCCCCTCTTGCTTTACCTATCGTACCCCACTACCCTCTTCCCTTTTATGATTTTAATACTTTAGAATATACACTTCCCCAGGATGCTTTGACATAAGGTTCAGCTTTCCTGGCCCAGTGGTTCTTGAGAAGAAGATTCTAAAAAGAATTTCCTAAAAACAGTGTATATCTCTGTAAAACTTGGATTCCCTATTGTGGCCCCGCCCTATACCTGGGGGGTCATGATTTTACCAATTTAATATATACACTACCCAAGGATGCTTCCACAGAAGTTTCAGCATTCCTGGCTGAGTGGTTCTTGAGAAGAATATTTTTAAAATTTTGTTTTATATTTTTCTTATTAAAACTTTGATTCCCTATTATGGCCCCGCCCTACCCCCTGGGGTCATGATTTTAACAATTTAATTTCTACACTGTCCACAAATGCTTCCAAAAAAAGTTTCAGCTTTCCTGGTCCAGTGGTTCTTGAGAAGAAGATTTTTAAAGATTTTTTCTTTATATTTATATGTTAAACTTTGAGTCCCTATAGTGGCCACGCACTACCCCCGGGGGTCAGGATTTTAACAATTTAATGTTTTAACTACCCAAAGATGCTTCCACATAAGTTTCAGCTTTACTGGCTCAGTGGTTCTTGAGAAGAAAATTTTGAAAGATTTGTTCTATATTTTTCTAAGTAAAACTTGGATTCCCTATTGTGGCCCCGCCCTACCCCCAGGGTTCATGATTTTAACAATTTAATATCTACACTTCAAGCGAGTTTATTGCGAGTTTATTAAGACAACTTTAAATGGTTGGGAGGTAAATAAAATATACACATTGGTTACAGAATATGTGTTGAATTGGGAAGTGAAAGGAAGTTGATTGAACAATGCCGGAAAGTGGAGAAATTTTCCCAAAAAATGCGCCGTAAATTGCACCTTTTTGCATTACGGGATCTGTTGCGTTATGTTCAAAGACAAAAATATGTAAAACCATAACGCTACAGATCATCTGCAGCTAATTTCGAACAATATATATAGAAAGACATTTTTTTTTTCATGCGAAAAGCAAATCGCATGAAAATCATGCAAGCCACTTTTGCCTGTGAGGGTTGGTTGGGAAAGCGTAAAAAAAAATATTGTTTGCTACATGTAGGCCTAATGGTGGCATCCTGGAGTTAACTTCTTTAAGCACCATTAAGTCACCATTAAGCTACCATTATGCGATTGCTTAAAGGCAAAAACATGTTTTACTTACCATTATTTTCTAAAAGTAACTTGGTACTGCTTTTGTCCATCGTAGCTCTGGCAACAAAAAAAAATGTTTAAACAAATTGAAAAAAAAGGTATTTTTGGTCCTGTATTGAGAGAAATTAGTATATATGAACATTTGGACACGTTTTTTTTAAATCTAATTGGATTTATTTTGAAGATTTCATCATTCCAAACATTCATTAAATCAAGAAATTGTTAACTCCACGTGGACATTTTCGGTTGGGTGAAATTCTACTGCACTATCGATAATGGACAAAGAGTATGGAAACCTTAAATGAAGGATATGGAAATAACGAACAGTATTCAATCTCAACGTCCATTAAACAAATATACAAAATAAGAGCAGAGCAAACACGGACCCCGAAACATCAGAGGTGGGACCAATTATGAAATAAAAATATAATACAAACTCGTTAGTTTTAAATGACGATTATTTTAAACATTTAGTTTACAGCACCTTACGATTTAAAGTAGTTCTGAATTGGACGAGTAACCAGGCTTTTCCTTTACAAGTGTTCTATAATATTTTAATTAAGATCATTGTGCCTTGAGTAATATTATAAACTCTAATTGAATAGCAAAAGTATATACTATGCTTTTCAATTTATTAGCTGATATTGTCACACAATATAATCCTTTCTTCAAGCAGTACTCCCAGGAACTTACACCTAGTGTCTTCATCAACTTCCCTTACTTATGCAGCAATATACCTTCATCACCTGCATACGGAGTATTTATATCTCAGTTGATTCGATACGCAAGAGCATGCTCTACGTATGAACAATTTCTTAAACGAGGTAAATTATTGACAAGCAAGTTGATGAAACAAGAAGATCAACAGTCTCGTTAAAAGTCATCATTTCGTAAATTCTATGGTCGATCATTGACCTTGTCAGCAAATACAATTTATCATTGAATGAAATGCTGACTGACGTTTTTCATACCAATTGTTATTCCATTATTTATACACTGAATTGACCACGGATTTTTTCCGTTATTTCCTGATTATGACAACGAGCACACGGCGGGTGTGACCGGTCGGCAGGGGATGCTCACTCCTCCATGGCATCTGATCCCACCTCTGTTGTTTCGGAGGTCCGTGTTTACTCTGCTCTTCTTTTGTATATTTGTTTAATGGACGTTGAGATTGAATACTGTTCGTTATTTCCAAATCCTTCTTTTGTGCATTTTTTTGTTACAAAGGTGTTATATGACGCATGATTTACCCTTACAAAGTCAAAAAGAGGCCTTTAATCAGTCATTCTACAGTAAATAGACCAATTCAAAATATAAAACATGAAAAAATAACTGTATCAAAAACAAAATGAACATCATAAAGGATATATCAGTGAACTTAAAAAAAATGTAGTGTCCATAAATCTGGCATCGTTAATTTTTTTACATCGATTTTATTATTACACTGATGTTAAGGTAAGGTTTCGAAGGTAATGCTTGATCAACCCTTATTATTTTAAATAACGCTAAATTGGACCAATCTTACGTCTGATGTTCAGTATGGAAAGCTAAAATACGATTTATAAAGTGAAATGGTTACGAAGTTATTCTATATTTATAGGCATGTACTTATTTCGCACGAAAGAATTTCCATGCATTTCTGTACGAATAGTGGTTTGATTTCATTTTATATAGGATGAAAAACTTTTTTTAAACATTTATCGCAATCTGTTTAATTTTGGACTCTTTTACGGCTGAGAATTCCATCTTGTTGTTGTAAATAAATGAAGTGACATGAAGATTTGCATATACAGTTTAACTCGTTTAGTACGAACACGGATATAGCGAAATCACGGATATAGCGAATTTTTTTCTGGGTCCACGGCAAAATTCTTAGCAAATCCTTTTATAATTTTACCGAACTTTGATGTAACGAATTTACGGATATAGGGAATGATTTTGGGTCCCGTTGAAGCTAAATATAATGAAACTTACATCTTTTATATCGAACTTTCAAAGATCTCAATATTTGTAAATTGAACTGACTTATTCTCCTTCATGGAATTGTATATATAATTCACAATAAAACCTTAGTTATCAAAGGTATGTTTTGTAATATTTGCTTCCCTAACATATGTGGTCGTAACACTTGAAGGAAATCATGCATATTGCGAATTTGCTTTATATGGTTTTACGAATTCGTTACACGGTTATTACAAATTACGGGTGTAGCAAATAACATTCACAGGTCCCCCTAGGACTTGGCTATAACCGAGTTTTACTGTATATAGGTAAACATTAACAAAACAATGTGTGTATGTTGAGACTTACGACTGTAAAGGATCATAAAATTTATAGTCAAGTTTTTAGAACGGTGTGCTTTTAAGCGACATAGAAACATCTTAATAGGTCATGTTTTGTAGAATGACTTTAATACCATACATGTAGTTTCTAAGCATCAATCTATAGTAGAAGGATCTATTGCAAAGTTAAAAATAAACAAAACTTGGAACAGTGTTTGGCGTCATCCCAGATCTATTCTTTGAAGTCTTGTAGAAATAATTGCGGGATTACTTTATAGAAAAGAAGTACATGAATAAAATATCTAGAATTTTGAATATTTCTGTTATGCATATTTCAATTACAAAGTATCATTAAAAAGAAATCAAATAAACTTTGCAACGTTTTAATGTGGGTAATGAGCCCCATACGTAGATTACGTATTTAGAACAAAGATAAAAAAAAATAAAATGCGTGACAAACTCAGTTAATAAATTGAAAAAAATATAGTATACTAGTATACGTTTGTTATTCATTCAGAGTTTATAATATTACTCAATGATCTGAATTAAAATATTTTAGAGAACTGATAAAGGAAAAGCCTTCGACCCATCCAATGGTAACCAAAGTTACTCATCCAATTCAGAACTACTTTAAACCGTAAGGTGCTGAAAACTAAATTTTCAAAATAATCGTCATTTAAAACTAACTAACTTTTTTATTTCATAAAGTTTCCATACTCTTTGTCTATAATCGATAGTGCAGTAGATGTTCACACAATCGAAAATGTCCAGTACCAGCTAATCTGAAATAATGAAAGATGAATTTAAAGGCGCGTCCATTTTCATAATGTAAAATCCAACTGCTCCCATGTAAATTGTATGCTAAGCTTCAAGGCCACATAATCAATTTCTACACTGATTTATCGTTCCACTTATACGTGTTGTAGTAGTAGTGAAGCGAACGACATCTCTGGGTAAAGATTGAACTATTATGAGCAAGCTAGTGCAAATACAGTATTGATTAATTGTGAGACATTTCTGATATAATACTAAAATTGATACCTGAAAAAGGATACTGAATGGCTAACTTGCTATCAATAAAATTAGGCTTGTAAACTGTTTTTAGGAATTTCTTTTAAAACAGGAAACACCTTTTTTTAGTAAACAGAAAGAACGACATTATGCACTTTCTTATCATTTTCTTTGTAAATCTGAAATATATAAACTTACCTGGTATTCTTTAATAGTTTTGTTCCAAATGCTCGGATGTTTATTTATCGGATCTTTAATTGCGATTAACACAATAATCTTGTTCGATGTGCACTATTCAGTACTAGGCTTGTTTTGATGACAAGGCCTCTATAAACAAAATGCAACTCATTAACATACTTCCTGATTCTCGAAACGGTTACCTGTGATTTCGCCCTTAGAATAATTCTACATCTGCAACTTTAAAGTCCATACCAGTAAATTTAATCGTTTTTTCTGGCAGTTTTCACCATTCTTCAATTTTATTCATTAACAAAGGTAGCGAATTTAGATAAAATATTTAGATTATACAGTCGGGTTTAATTTCGACCACGTGCGTTTCAGAGAAGTGTGAATCCGCTCCTCTGTTATTGCACGATTTTGGCGGGACAAGCCGAAATAGTGTTTCTGCGTCTTAATTAAATTTTGTATCAGATTGTGAGAATCCACATTCTGGAAATTTGTATTATTAGTTTTTATTTTTTTTTTCTCTCACACAATTTTTGAATATATTGCAATTCATTCATTGTAAAATCATCATTGCATTACATCTATCAATAAATTAAGAGGGGGTAATTTTTGTTATTTATGAGTTTGTCAAGTATCACAAAATTTTTAGACAAAAACCCACTTCAAGTTCCCTCTACCCCAAACGACAAATTGCCTGTGCTGATTTCAGATAGTTTGGGAAACTGCCTTCAAACAAATCACAAAACACATATTATTCCACTGTATTTTCTCACCTATTCAGGGTCACCTACTGCCACTGCAATTGATAGGGCAATACCTGAGTTAGAAAAGCTTTCTAAAGGGAGCAAGCCACCTGTTGTGTATGTTTGGTTAGGTGTGTGTGACATTACAAAGGAAATACATGAGGGGCCTAAAAAGATATGGAATTTTGAAAAATTTTGCATATTCAGATAAAATGTACAAAGATTTCAAAACATAATTACAGATTTTTTTCATCAAAAATTGTTTAAGAAGAGATGTAGAAATCCATAGAAAGACATTAAAAATATTGCACACAGGTCCTTCATTTAGTGGATTTCTTCAACTCAAACAGGGAAGAACTCAACAGAGTTCAAAATAGGTTGCGTATGACCTTAAAACAGGAAATGCCCTTTTTCTCAAAGACAAGAGGCCCATGGGCCTTATAGGTCACCTGAGTATTATGTAACAACTTTCCAACAATTGAATTTGATTCATGTTTTAAACTAGAGGCCATAAAATTCTTAATTTTGAAAGAGGCACCATTGCTTAGCATGCTTTTTTTAGTTACTTAATACCCAGAGGTAGATCAGAGTAGCAAAAAGAAAATGCATTTCCACTTTTAGTGAATTTCAGGGCCCTTAGTCAGGGCTCCTTGTGATAAGGCGGGTCCACAGTTGAACCACTGACCCTAGGGCAACATATTTCAAAAAGTTGATAAATAAGAAAGTGCTGATTTCAAAGCATTAAACTATTTCAGACTATGATACCCCCTCTGTCCCAGGAGCCCGGAAATGAACCATTTTTGTAAGAAGCATTTTTTTTGTCATAGATATATACTAAAATCATTAGCATTATACCCAATAACAAAGGAGAAAAGATTTACAAAGAATTCATGCATTTTCTTTATATAAACATTAGAACCACGCCCTAACACAAGAGGCCCTAACCGAGGGACCCTGGAATTTTAAAATCTCAAAGAGGCATCCTTCCATCTCATAACTATGTACATAGTTCATTGGTTAAATACTCAAGTGTAGAAAAGAAGAGTTTTTAATAATTTATGCATTTTCACTTTAAAATCAATAAAGCCCCTCCCTAATACTAGAAACCCCAACCCAGGGGCCATGGAATTCACAATTTTGGAAGAGGTAGCCTTATTCAACATAACTATGTACTTGGTTAGTTTATCTTTTACTCAGAAGCAAAGAAGAAGATTTTCATAGAAATAATTCATTTTTACCATATGATCTATATAGCTGTGCTCTAGCACTAGCACCCCTGACCCTGGGGCAATGAAATTAACAATTTTGGAAGAAGCAGCCTTATTCAAAATAGATATGCACTTGGTTAGTTTATTTAGTGCCCATGAACAGAGAAATAGAATTTCAAAGAAGTTTTGCTTTTCACTACTTAATCTATATAGCCCCACCCTACCACTGAACTTCTGACCCCGGGGGTCATTAAATTCACAATTTGAGAAAAGGCAGTCTTTTTCAACATAGCTATGCATTTGGTTAGTTCATTTAATGCCCATAAACAGAAAAGAAGAATTTCAAAGAATTTATGCATTTCCCTATATAATCTTTATAGCACCGCCTTAGCACTAGAACACCTGACTCTGGGGTCATGAAATTCACAATTTTGGACAAGGCTGTCATTTTCAAGTAATCTATGCATTTGGCTAATTCATTCAATTCCCAAATTTTTCCAAATAAACGGGCGTTTGTATAATTGAGGCTTTTATTGCGTTTGACACAATATTCCTTATTCAACGGTTACTCAGGTTACCTGCTACGAAGATGAGAAGGTCTCTATAAATACAATGCACTTTATTTAAACCTCCTTCTTTTCAAAACGAGTGACTGTAATATTTTCCTGTGCTACTTAAACGTTTGTGATCTTTAAGGTCTGTGTATGTAATCCTATCAATACTGTTTTCCTGTGGCAGTTTTCACAATTCTACAACTTGATTCAATATGAGGGGAAGAAAGTTTTCTTTCATTATGAAAATCTTATTTTGTTTAAGAAACAATTAAATTACCGTTCTATGACAAAAAAAATATAAAAAACACAAATAAATAATGTTAAAGATTACTAAAATTGACGTAAAATTTTCAAATATTGATAATCGGCTGATGTTGATGATTTCTGTGGATAATACAATTACATGAATGTATATCTCGCTTCGCATATCCGCATAAAATATCATTCATATTGAGTACAGGATGTCCGATTTATTTATGAAACTAAATTGCTTTCACATAATTTATATTTCATCAATATTCATTAAGTACACCTTATTACATTTCTTTTCCTTTACATTATACAAACTTGGATGACTGCCATGGTTTGTTTTGCTTTTCTTCAAGCCTTGACCGTTCACGGTGGCTCAGTCGGTAGAGCGCAAGCTCCGTGATCAGGAGGTCGTGAGTTCGTATTTCGGCCGCGACTGACCTAGTTGTTAATATGGGTAGCAACTGTTTGTTCGCCATGCGCTCGGCACTTTAAAGTGAATGTTTCGGGTCCTTCGAATGAAACCTTAAGGACGTTCGATCCTGAGATTTTGAGTGGATTTTGGTCATGTCCTTTATTTATAAAATTCTGCATCATTTTTAAGTTCTAACATTAAATCTGAATTCTACAATGCAAATTGAACTACATATTGTATATTCAATGAAGGAACTGCGATTAAATTCCATTAAAGTAGAAATTCGTTAGGGACAATATTTTGTGGCGGAAGGTTTTCTTAGACGAAAATGGTCAGTTTTTCCCCTTTTGAACTATAACTGTATTGTTAATTTTAGATTCCTATTTCTCCATGCTGGTTGCACAGAAAGCTGTTTTTTGCAGTAAAACCTGTAATGCTAGGCCTGAAATATTTATTAAATTATTTCTGATGAATGAATTCTTTTAACAACGTGTGACAAATATAGTAAATATATTCTGAAATCCAGCAAAAATTTTAACGGAAAATTGACACTTTTTTTAGTAATATTTGAAAATTTACATCATATACACCCACTTTTGATATTCTTTTCTAAATAATCAAGATAACTTTGACCTATTTGCTTAAAACCAGAAAAAGTTTAAGACTTTAAAATAATTTTCTTGCTTATTAAATTTTCAGTGCCAGAAAAATCACATTTGTCACTGCAAAAAAGTCAAATAATTGAAACTTTTTCTTCATCACAATTTTAAAGTGTCTTTTTTGAACAGACTTAGAGTTTATTTTGTTTCATGCATTATTTTGATAAAAATATTGAAGGGAAAACGTCGAAGATGTAATTTTTAATAAGACACAAATTTCAGTGATCATATTAAATGTACTGTAGCGACAAAAGAAGCTTATCGACTCTTGTTTTTTGATTTGAATTTTAATTAAGCTATGTATATGGAAAATAAAAAAATACTTGGCAAAAAAAGTTTAAGACTTGATCATGCATTCTCTGTAAGCACCAAAAAATCTTGGAAATGACATATCTCCGATTTTGATGAAAATTGCACCACAGGTCACCTTGGTACAAAACCAGCAAATATTGTGTTAGAAGTTTCCCACGTGCACCCGGTTGCCATGGAGACGGATCCATTGAATTTGGCCATTTTCGGCCATTTTTGACCAAACAAAAACATGAAAATTGAGAAAATATGAATGAAATTTTATCTTTATGTTGTGAACTCAAATATAAATCTTTATATCATAAGAAAACATCAATTGTTAAAGAATACAGGGCATATAACCAGTTATTCCACAATTGACCCCACTCTTAGAAAACGGTTCTGCAAAATAGCATAGTTTCTCAAAATGTGAAAAAAAGGCATTTTTTGAGAAATTTAAGGTTAAATAAAAAAAATTGTCTACTGAAATTTTTGAAATCATATGCGTGTCGTCAAACGTCAGTATAAGTAGTGTCCCCTCATGAAAAAATTGGAGTGGGATCTCAATGCTATTTTTAGTAACATGTATCTAAAAATAGACATATTTCAGAAAAATCCAAAAAATGAAATTTGGGCAAAGTTTAAGATGCTATTGCTAGGTAATTATAAAATATACAGTAAAAGTCAATATGCTAATGTCAGAGACTGGACACCAATAACTACCATGCATATTATTTTCAGGGATTTTCGTTTTCTATTTATAGCTTCAAATGCCTAAATATAGACATGTCTCATAAAATGATGAAAAATGTCAATTTTCCATCATTTTGAAGCTCCACAGAATCATGAATAATAGAAATATGGATCTCTTCAATATTTCATCAATAAGAACAAGGAATAGTATGATATCTCACAAATTATCGAGGACAGGCTCTCATCTCTATAAATAGTACAAATGTCTAAAAATAGACACATATGAAATTAACTGTTTAATGTTGATTTTCCACCAATTCTCAAATTAGAGA